ACACTTGAATTATCGAACCCGGACAAGGTATGTGCCTTCGGTATCATTTGGTCTTCAGCTTGCATTTCACGCAATACCCTCAGTAGTATAATATTTACGGAACTTCCTGGATCAATCAAAACTCGTTTTATATTAGTGTCATGTACAAGTAAAGATATTACCAGTGCGTCGTTGTGGGGGGTCATCACTCCTTCAGTATCCGCATCATCAAAAGAAATACTTTCATTTTCTAAAACCTGCCGTACCCGTTTCCCGTGTGTAATCGTTACTTTCGAAACCTTGTTGGAAGCCGTATATGTTACACCATAAATATCTTCTCCCCCACTTATAACATTCACGGTTCTCTTGGGTGATGGGGGTTTTGGTGGCTCTTGCCTATTTTTCATATAGGCTTGTTTCCCTTTCTCACTAAATAACTCAGTGAGATACCCTTGTTTCAATAGATGATCCACTTCACTTTGTAAGAATCTACATTCTGAAGTCTTGTGCTCGTGATCATCGTGGAACTCACACCAATGGTCTGGATTGCGCCTGTTTGGATTTGACCGCATCTCTTTTGGCCACCGTACCTTGTCTCCCATGCCTCTTAAAACAGCTACGAGCTCAGAGGTAGTAACATTGAAATTATACCCACCGAATCTCGCTTTTAAACCTCTGTCATCATCTCGCGACTCTTGTCTGTTTCGGTCATTTCTGAACCTAGATGCAGAACCAGATTCCCTGTTCCTCGATTTTTGATCATATCGTTGATTATCCTCCTTTGACCGTGAGTCTTTTCTTACAGTTCCCATATATGGATCGTACCTGTTTTTACCTGATCTTTTTTCGGTTTCTGACCTCCTGGAATTGCTTCTTTCTTCATGATGAAACTGAGGTACGTTATCTTCCTCAATTCGCAACTTCATACTGTACCTGTTATAAACGTCTTTCCAAGTGGTTGCAGGGAACTCTCGAAAGCTTTCTTTAAGTCTTCACGTGGCTTCTGAACTTTTATCATTTAAGTTGCTTGCAAAAGCTATTGCAGCCCAATTATCAGGTACTCGGGGTAAAGTCATCCTTTCACGTTGGAATCTATCAACAAAATCTCTGAGCAACTCTGAGTCCCCTTGTTTAATTTTGAAAATGTCTTCCATTCTTTTTTCAACCTTTTGAGCTCCCGAGTGCGCTTTAATAAAAGAATCTGCAACCTCAGCAAAAGAGTTTATAGAATTTTCAGGTAAAAGAGAATACCAGGTTAATGCACCCTTGGTGAGTGTTTCTCCAAATTTTTTGACCAACACGGATTTGATTTCTTGCTTGGTCAAATCGTTGCCTTTTACACCTGTAGTAAATGCAGTTACGTGATCACGTGGGTCTGTTGTGCCGTCATATTTCGAGATTTCAGGCATTTTGAACTTTTTAGGGATTGGAAGGGGAGCAGCACTTGGTTTCCAAGGTTGTTGCGAATACTTATCCACATCCACTCCTTTGATCACAGGAGGAACACCAGGGATTTGCTCGATGCGCTCATTTTGTTCCTTAAGCTGTTTCTACAAAGTTAGTACTAAATTTTGCAAATGAGAATTACTTGAATTACCTGGTTCTCCTTCCTGTGGCTCACTGGGGGTTCCTCCATTTCCAGAATTGATAAGGCCAGAACGAGGATTCTCCAGTGTGTTATTATTAGGTGTAGGTGTGGGCGGTGCAACAGGTAATCGACTAATAAGAGTTTGAAGAGCTTTGTTAACTCGTGCATCAATTACTTTCTGTAAAGCGTCATCCGCTCCTTCAAAATATTCAGATTGCTCTTGTTCAACAGCCCGGGATTCAGGAGTAGGAGTGCCTTCACGAGATTGACGTGGTGAATTTTGTGGGGGAGGAACCACGTTAATGTTTTGTAAATCACCTTGATTTTGATGGACTTGATGTTCATGGTTTCCCAAGGTATTCTCACTATTATTGTTGTTGTTGTTGTTGTTGTTCGACATGAACAGATAAAATGTAACTTAAAGAGAATAGATTATCAGATTCCCGGTAACGGAACCAATTTGTTTAACCAGAAAACTGAATATTTGGTTAAAGCTAGAATTTAATAGAGAAATCGGGTTACTGATAATCAAGAAATAAGAGATTTTGTGAACAACAATAAAGCAATGAATAAGAGTATATTTCAGTATAATCGGAATGATATTTCGTGTCCTACAAATGTTGTGACTTTCTCCTTTTATAGTCAATTCTAAGAGAAAGTGTAATATCTTTGTCTTAATGAGGCAATTACGAGCAGTAAATAATATTAAAAGAATCGTTATTCAATCATTCTTATTAAATACAAATTCTCTAACGTATTTGGCATTTAATGTTGAATTTGGACTCTTTTACGCTATCAGATTCATATATTCAATTCCTTCTGATCTTCGAGCTTTAAATGGCTCGAACAGGAACGAGTCTCGTTTCATCTGGATAGTAGCTCGTATCTTCTCTCCCGCATCTATTGTTGCTCGTGTCTTCTAACTGTTTGTCATGCTTTGACTATTTGACCGGTCCACGGGTCATGACATGTCATCTTCAATATTTAAATTCAGTTTTTCCCCAATACATCTGAGTCAATTACTTAAATGGTCACTCAACTATTCGAAATTATCTATTGAAGTCATCTTTCTTTCGTTTGTAACAGCAAAGTTCACTTAGCTATGTCTATAGCGCTCAGAAGGTCACTCAACTAGATTTCTCAAACTTTTGATGCCAAATACCAATTTTAGCAAAGTCGCCTAACTAAGTCCATAATGTAGATTAAAATCATAATATTTAAAAATTTAAAAAAAAAAAGGATGAATGTTGATAATTTAGGGGGTAAAATATGTATTTGACAATTAAAAGTTTGAAAAATCTGGGATTGGCCTTCTGACTATTGTATGCATAGTTAAATGACTTTCTTGTTACAAACAAAAGAAAGATGACTTTACTAGATAATTTCGAGTAGTTGAGTGATCATTTACGTAATAGACTTCCCGACTCTTCTCTTTGTAAATGGATGTGAACTAAACAAATACTTGTATAGTTACGTACCTTCAACATACCCTAGCTACTAGCTAGGCTGTTAAGATAATTAATTAAATCGACATATTATGTGTAGTATTAGTTTGGCTTTTAGCTATTTCTCTAAGATGTGTACATTTCGTTTCTTGCATCGGAAGTTACTAACTGTTTCACGGGGAAATGGAAAAAAAGTAGAAGCCAAATTAAAGTTAATGAATTGTCAGAAACTCTACCATGCTTGTAGATTTTGCGAGAACAAAAGAGTTGCGTTTCTAAGTTCTAGACGTATTTATCATGTGTTTATTATCAAGATTTCTGTTTGCTCAAAAAATGTTACACATCTTACGAGTACAAAACAATATAAATAAATCCCGGGATAATCATAGCAAATCGTAATAATCCGTTGGACCAATTGAATGAAATGAAAACAAGAACTCAGAATTAGGGGGAGAAGCATTGGAAACCTTTATTGATAATATTTGTTTGGTCTGCCTCTCCATGAAGAGTTTCAGAGCCTTACAATGGTGTTTCCTCTTCCCATAAGAGGGGTATATTTTCTTGTTTCTCTCTCCTCTCACTAGTGGTCAAGAAGCCCCCCTTTCTGGGGTCCCTTCTCTTGGTATTTATAGCTGTGGGCTTCGTGAGCTGTCTCTCAGTGGCCGTGACCACGTTGAGGTCTCGCCTTTCTAGTGGTGGATAGGCCGGGGCCTTTGTTGACCGAGCCAGGGACGGGTTGAGCGTCGTCAATTCTGAGTGGTCGTGCCACTAATTAATCGTGAATTAACTATTAACGGGATTAGCCTCGCTAATTATCGTGGGGTCGAATTCTTACCCATACAAACATCACATTTGAATTTAATTATAATTAAGTGCTAAATTTAAGTAAAGATAACAACAACAAATTCCATAAATGGGTAAAATTTAACTAAAGATAATGACATATATTTTGTATTTATCGATATAATTATTATACATTTTTTTGCCGTCACTTCCTCCGCTGCTCCGCCCATCTTGCACGCACCTTAGCCAAATTTTCATAATCTAAAAGTATTGTAAGTTGAGATTCTTTCATTCGCGATTAAAGGATTGTGGTTAAGTAATAGAAATAAAATATTATAGTTAGTTCTTTGTCCCTTTTAGTGAATCCTACTACGCGACATAAATTTTAATTAATCATATTAGTAAATTGCGAAAACCGAAAAAGAAAGTTCCTAATTTCCAAAGCTGCAAGTAAACGTACATTACCAACTTACTGCAAATAATTTAAGATTTAAGATATATATATATATATATATATATATATATATATATATATATATATATATATATATATATGGTCGTGTAAAGAAAATTTATTAGGAATTTTTTTTTATAGCAATTAAGTAATTATCATCTTTGCTAGATTATACAACACAACAACATAATATACCCACTGCTATCCCACACCGCTTTGCTAGATTATAAATTATCAAAAAACTAACTATTGTGCTAATTTTATAGACTCAATGCATCAAACTTTTTTTTTTTTTTGGTTTTTCATCATTCGGTATTTTCATTGGAGCTCGACTAAATCTGGATTTGTACTGAAAAATTCCAAATATTGAGGGGTAAACGCTCTTTAATAAAGACAATTCCATACTTAGGACTTGAACCCGAAATTAAAGTGGGTAAAGAGCTCCCTAACAAATGCGACTTCATGTCAAAACTCGAATTCGAAATTTCTGATTAAGAATGAAAGAGTAGTTACCACTCTACCACAACCCTTGTTGGTTAATGCATCAAACTTAAATTCAACACTAAAATGTCAAACGAAGCTTCTATATATATATATGGAAGAAAGAAGCAAAAGAAAGGAGTGAACCAGTAGACAGAGAGAATATATACACACACAAGTAACGTGTACAATTATGAGTAGAGTATACACAAAAACTATGAATTGACAAAAGAAAGTGTATAGATATGCTTAAATCTTAAAAAATACAATAAAATTAAATGGTAAATGACGCCGACCGCCAACCAAAACAAAATTCATTGTTGGAGACTTTTCTTCTCTATGCTGCAAGTGCAGGCCACCAAAAAAGACTCCCCCTTGTCCTAACACCCCCTCCCCCCTTCCACCCCTCTTTCCTTTCTCCTCAAATTTCTCTCTGAAATTCTTCAACTTCACTTGAGTTTTCAGTTTTCAGACTTGCTTTTTGATTTTTATTTTTCCATAAAAAGACACCCTTTTGGCTTTCTTGGTTGTGGGATTGTTGATTGAGCTGAAAATTTGAGGTATGAATGAGTAAAGACTGAATTTTTGAGTTTCAATGGATCTTTGATTATGAAGTTGAGTTTCTAACCTGCGTTTTTGTTTTTTGTTTGTTCATAGGAAGAGACCCTTTTGGCTTTCTTGGTTTTGGAATTATTGGTTGAGCTGAAACATTGAGGTATAAAATGAGTAAAGACTGAATCTTTTTGAGTTTTGTTGGATCTTTGATAATGAAGTTGAGTTTCAAACCTTCTTTATTGGTACTTATTTGTTCATAGGAAGATACCCTTTTGGCTTTCTTGGTTGTGGAATTTTTGGTTGAGTTGAAAATTTTGAGGTATAAATGAGTAATGATTGAAGTTTTGAGCTTTGTTGGATCTTTGATAATGAAGTTGAGTTTTAAACCTGCTATTTTGGTTCTTATTTGTACATCGGAAGAGACCCCTTTGGCCATTTTGGTTGTGGGATTATTGGTTGAGCTGAAAACTTGATGTATGATATGAGTAAAGATTGAATTTTGACTTTGTTGGATCTTTGATTTTGAGTGTTTGAATCAATGTGCAGCCTGATTCTTGGTGGGTTCTTTTAATTCTTTGTTTCTTTGTTTAGATTCACCAAAATCAAAATGACTTAGATATAGGGTGTTCGGATTTCAGGTGAAATGAATACCATATGAGTAGAAGATTTGTCGAAAGTCTTTGTTTTGTGTCTTTTGTATGCAATTGGTCGGATTCTAAGTGGTCGGTTATCTAATAGTTTAGAGGATAGCATTCTGTCACTTCTTCTGGAATTTTATTGAATCAATCTTGATCATTGGAGAAACGTTTAGTTTCGTTACGGTACATTTGAATTCATTTAATGTAGGACTTATTATTATTATAGCCACTGCCTGCTGGAAGTTCTTGCCGTGAAGAGAGAAAATGTCAGGAGGAGGTACACAGAACAGCTTAAGAAAAACCCTTGGAGCACTTAAGGATACAACTACTGTCAGTTTAGCTAAAATTAATAGCGGCTATAAGGTAATGATATTCTTTTTTGCTGCCTATTCTCGTTCTATTTCCATTTTAGGGTGCTCTCTTAATACCTGTTTTCTTAATGTTCTTTAGGAATTGGATATTGCTATAGTTAAGGCAACAAATCATGTTGAACAACCAGCAAAGGAGAAGTACATAAGAGGTAAGTATCAGATCGTCTTGTTATGGAGTTGTAACATACTGAATTATAGCGATAAACTGCATTCGGGATGGACTTGATTGAATTTTTTGATTCTCAATTTCAGCCATTTTTTCTGCCATTTCGGCTACCAGGCCTCGAGCTGATGTTGCATACTGCATTCATGCTCTTGCAAGAAGATTGTCGAAGACGCATAATTGGGCGGTATGAATAATAAACTCAATCTGGTAGCACCTTTTTCATGAAAGATAAATTCATTATAAGCATGTCCCATACCTAACGATAAGTAGTCCTCAAAATACTGATTTGGTGAAGTCCTGTTAGTCTAATCTTTGTTTCTTATTTACAACCCCACATATTACCATAACGATTCTAAGAGAAGACGTGAGATACAGCTGCTCCCTATGGCTTTATTTGTAAACACTTCAAGATAAATATTTATTTAAGATTTCTTTTCTTTCCTTTTGTGCAAGAGACCAGGAACACTGAGGGAATTTTTTTAGTCCAAGCCTATAAGCTTGTGATTTGGGTAACTGAGTTACAGTCCCATAAATGCCACGTTATTACATTAATGGCGCCAAAATTTCCAAGCCAAAAACTCATATACATTGAATAGGGTATTAATTCCCAGTTCATTAGCTTCCAGGTTTCCAACTATTCGACTAAAGTGGAAACATAATTACTGCATTTTAAGCAACAACTTCCTCCAAGAGTAATTGCTTTCTATTTTACGGGTTATATGAGTTGGGATTCATATACATTATCCCATTGGGCTAGGCCACAAAGCTAAATTTAACAATTCATTTATGGTTGGGCAGTCAGTCCATTGTTCTTATGCCACTCGAAAATTTCTCTTCCTGGATCAAGAGGGACCTGAATTTCAGGGGTATATCACTAGATCCTCAATAAGGGGAAAGATACGCATTTGAACCTTATTTTGTCAGGGAATTCTGTAGCTTTTAAAGAGTAAGACGACATCGCAGGATAGCAACCATGACTCAAGAGATCATTGACATGACTAAGATCCAGTGTGTAGTTTGTAAAGTATAAGGCGACATTACATCATAGATAGCATCATGATTCAAGAGAACAATGACGTGACTAAGGTCCTATGGAGAACCATTAAGATTTGGATCGTCTTTCTCTTGTTCATGTGGAGATCCAATATATTAAGAGCCTTATGCAGCGGATATGTTATAAGATAAGACAACAGTAAGTGTGTTTGTGTACTTAGTTATTCTGTCTACTGACACATGATACTGATGGCCTCTGACCTTAATTTCATTGGTGAGGACAGATCAGATTATAAGCCCGTCCTTTCTGAAACTAGCTTCAGTCGCAAAGGACTAAATATCGTCTTGTTTTTGTGGACGGTCTAACTTTTGGAGCTGAGGAATAATGTTGATAATCAAGTATTCGTTTGAATGTTTTAAGCAATCATTTTGCTTTGTTTTAATATGCTTGGTTTCACATCAATTCATCAAGCATAAAAGCTGATCGCGCTTTGAATAACCTTGATTTCTTGATAATTGATAATCTTAACTCAAATCCTCTCCAAAGTTGACGCTTAAAGCACCTTTACTGATTCATTTGTCACTGACATTTGTTAACAGGTTGCGTTAAAAACATTGATCGTTATTCACCGCGCTTTAAGAGAGGTGGACCCTACATTCCAGGAGGAACTTATTAACTATGGTCGCAGCAGAAATCGCATGCTTAACATGGCTCATTTCAAAGATGACTCTAGTCCAAATGGTATACATATTATCTACCTATTTGTTGCTTATAGGAAGTTGGCCGTAGTGCTGCCCACTGAAATCGAAAATTGCTCTGATAAACTCTTCAGCATGGGATTACTCTGCTTGGGTGCGTTCGTATGCCTTGTTCCTGGAGGAGAGGCTGGAATGTTTTCGAGTGCTGAAATATGATGTGGAGACCGATCGTCCGGTAAGTAAACCATCCTTTTTAATCTCTTCCAATAGTTAGTTAAAGGAATATACATTACATACACACATACAATATATATGTATGTGTGTGTGTGTGTATGTATCCACACACACATACATACATATTATCTTTCTTAAAAAAACATATGCATGTATCAATCTTCTTATATTTAGATGGCCTATTTCTGTGGATATTATTATGTTTTGTGCAACAATCGGTCTTCTATATTATGAGGATCCAGTTGCTTTCTATATCAATCTTCTTATCTTTAGGTGAAGTGAAACATCGAGTGCTGAGATTTCCTTATATTTTTTATGCATTTAATGCAGAGAACTAAAGATTTGGACACACCGGAGTTGCTTGAGCAGTTACCAGCCTTACAGCAACTTCTGTATCGTATTATTGGCTGCCAGGTATGTTACTCCTGATAATCAGTTCGATATGGTGGTTACTTTAAAAAAAATGTCCTTGATTTGGAATTTTTAGATTAGCATATACAGTAAATTGTGCTTAAACTTATGATCATGAAATTTTCATGCAGCCACAAGGGGCATCTGTTCACAATTTTGTGGTTCAGTTAGCACTTTCAATGGTAAGTTATCTGTTCTTCACCGATTTATCAGAAATGATTAACGTATTTGGTTTCTCACTATCTGATTGCTTATTAAAATTTTGATAGGTTGCTTCGGAGAGCATTAAAATCTACAATGCTATCAGTGATGGTACAGTTAATTTAGTTGACAAGGTGGGCTTCTCTTTTGGCTATAAATTATAATATAGATAGTCTTATTTCTCCTCTGGAATAGCTAATAAATGTTAACTGAGTTATTTTACTTGGCAGTTCTTTGAGATGCAACGGACTGATGCTCTTAGGTCTCTCGATATATACCGCAGGGCTGGTCAGCAGGTACCATCCCGAGAGATTATTTTAAGAGCCAGCTAATATACATCAAAACAGTTCAAGAGACTGTGTTCCTTTAGGAATTTAGACACCTTTGCTGACACACCTCCATTTATTTTTAGGCTGAGGCACTTTCAGAGTTTTACGAAATATGTAAAAGTATTGACGTGGGACGTGGCGAGAAATTTATTAAAATTGAGCAGGTACCAGAAAACTTTTCTGGAAAATATATGCAATTATTTTCGTGATTGCACCATTGTAGATGTCTCCCTAATCTTTTTGCATTTTGTTTATATTCAAGCCCCCTGCATCATTTTTACAAGCAATGGAGGAGTATGTGAGAGAAGCACCGCGAGCTTCTACCGTGCGGAAAGATTCGGTAAGCAATCTTCTCTCACACCTTGATAAATGTCAGTTATCTCTGGACGGAGCTAGTAACCATAGATGAAATATTTATTTATGTTTAACAAGCCCACTCACGTGCGGACCTTCTTGGGCCGAGTATGTAAAAATACTTCTTTGAAAATAATGCAGTTCTAGAAAACTGATAGCTTATGATATGTACTAGTCTGTTTTACTCCAACCAGATCTTAAGTTTCTATGCAACTTATATTCAACTTCCAGGAACCCAAAGTTATTTTGGCTATTGAGTACAAAAAGGACCCAGAGGTCAAAGATGCTGGCTCCCGTTCTCCTCCTCCACCTGAACCTGAAAAAGAACCTGAACCAAAGCCTGAGCCAGTTAAAACGGAAGCTCCGCCGGCAGAACCTGCTGATCTTTTGGTAATAGTTTCAAGACATATTTCATCTATAACCTTATTGTGTTTAACTCTATGATTGGATATTTAAAGCCTCATATTTGTTGTCCCTAGTCTTTGGATGATCCTTCTCCAGCAGTTGCAGAACTAGATGAGAAAAATTCTTTGGCTTTAGCTATCGTACCAGTTGGTACGTGTTTCAAAATCAATTGCACCATATACTATGTTTGAAACTCGCCCGAGCCTTGTTATTCTGACTCTTGGTGCTGTCACAGGCTCTAGCAACCCACCGGCTTCAACTGTTTCAAATCTTACTAATGGAGCTACAGGCTGGGAATTGGCTCTTGTCGAAGCTCCCAGCTCGAATGAGAGTGCCACTACAGCGAGTAAACTGGTACAATTACGCATCTTTCTCATTTCACTGCTTTTAATCAGTGCCCATTGACTAAAAAGTTGAATGAATCGTATTGTAAGAGACAACATTATGGTTTCACCGTCTTGAATTTGGGGGGCTAAAGTAATGGATGCAAGTAGAGGTGCATGCAATCTTTGTACAATGGGTTCAACTGAACCCAATATTTTCGATACGGAGCATAGATATTCATGTGAAAAACCTATGAAATTTAAATAAATATTGAACTCCAAATCTATAATTTCAAAAGCACAATGAGTTCAGTCTAAGAATTTTAAAGGTTGAACACATCAAGTAAAATCGTGGATCCGCTCCTATATGCAGAAGATTTAGATGCACCGGTGGACATTTTTCTTCACATGTATAAAGAGCTATACTTATACTGACGCTTCCTACTTTTGTAAAAACTAGGCTGGAGGACTTGACAAACTTACACTAGATAGTTTGTATGATGATGCAATGAGACAAACCAACCAAAATGTGAGCTATAATCCGTGGGAACCTGCACCAGCAGCTTCTCAAATGATGCCAAACGTTGGATACGACCCGTTCTATGTATCAAACATGGTGGCAGCCCCAACTAATGTGCAAATGGCAGCCATGGCGAACCAGCAACAGGCTTTCATGTTACAGCAACAACAACAACATATGATGATGATGACTCCCCAACCACAACCGTCTGCGAATCCTTTCGCCAACCCTTACGGAGCAAATGCCAATCCATACGGCCCCGGTATGCCTGTACAAGCATATAATCCTTATAATACTGGCCTCATTTGAGCAATTTACAGAGAGAACATGGTGCTATATTCAGCTATTGATTTTGATACTCAGGAAGATATTGAAGAATAGATTTATATCACTGCAGGAGGTAGTGTAAAATTATTTGTTAAATATTTAGGTAACTTTCTTGGTTCATTCTTTATTTGCGAACATCGCGGGAACGCTCAATAATTCTTGACTCATTTTTCTTCTTCTTCTAAACCTGCTTATTCTTGGGCTGGATTTTCTTACTGCCATTTCTTGGCTCTTTTATCAGTTCTAAATTTTTGGTAGCTTTGTATTGTGAAACAAATTTGCTTAGTGATTGTACATGGTTTGGATATGAAATGTGGTCCTTTTGTATACTCTCTATTTTTACTATTTTCTTTGTATGAATTCTTCAAAGGAACATATTTGGCAAGAGGTGACTTAAAAAAATCTATCTGTTATATCAAGATTGGCAAAAAGGGACTTGAAAAGATGCCGTGAAGTTCCTATATTAGCTATGATGAAGGAACATGTTATTTAAACAAAAAGATTGGTAATACAGTCAAACCTTTTTATAGCAACTTCGTTCATTCCGATAATTTTGGCTGTTATAGTGAAGTGTTTTATAGAGGATATATATTATAACAGTAACATAAAAATCAGTTGAAAAAAATTTGGCTTTTATGAATGACTGTTATATAGAGATGTTACAGAGAGGTCTGACATTTATTAGAGTTGTGGGTAGTAAAGAAATCATAAGTAAAATATTAAATTTTAGCACTTTGAAAGAACTAAAGTGATGTCTGATTCGCGATAAAATTAAATACATTGATTTTTATACGTGATATTCTGCCAATCATGTTTAAACATGATATTCTAAAGGTGTCAAATGGACAGGTTGACCTAAATCTAATCATGTTTAAACAGATTGAATAGATGAGGGATTTGTACAAAATATGATTCTTTTATCCTTGTTTAAAGAATCTGTGCAAAAATAGCATTGGAACATAATTTGTCTTAGGTAGATTGGCAAACCTTGCCTTGTCCATAGGTTATGATGGATGGGGTATAACTTTGGTACAAATCATTTACAAATTTCTGTTGTGACCAAATTTTTATAAGTGTTGTCGGATAGACACGATTTATCTTGTGAAATTGTTCAATAACTTTTAACGTATTGACGAAACTTGCTTAGATAATGCTACTTCGAGAAGTCAGGAAGGACTGCTCGGTACACTAAGCTTTCGCTATGCAGCGGGGTTCGGGGAAGGATCGGGACCATAAGGGTCTATGTACACAGCCTTACCCTTTCTGTAAGAGACTATTTCCACGGTTCGAACCTGTGACCTCCTAATCATGTCGCAGCAACTTTACCAATTATGCCAAGGCTTCCCTTCAGCTTCGAGAAGTCGAGAGCCTAAAGAAAAAGTTAAGTACATAAACCTCATTAAGAGTCGTTCTTATGAAACAAATAAGCTGTTCGATTTTTTCGTACAAAAAAGGCCAAATACATATACAGCCCATTCAACTGGGGTATTTTTAAAAATAGCCAGATTTACAACTGGTCGTTAAAAAATAGCCCAATTTCAAAAGTAATCAAAATTTAGCCACTTTTTATGTAAAGATAAATCTGAGCGAAAACACTGTTCAAAACCCGGAAAATACTCCAGTATATTATGCTGGAGTTCCAGCATTAGTATACTTGAACTCCAGCATATTATACTGGAGTTCCAGGATAGTATGCTGGAACTCCAGCATAATATGACGGAGTTCCAGCAAAAATACACTAGAACTCCAGCATAATATACTGGAGTTCCAGCAAGTATAATGGTCCAGTATAATATACTGGAGTTTGGAGCACCGGTGCTCCAATCTCCAGTATATTATACTGGAGCCAGCAAAGTATACCGGTCCAGCATAATATGCTGCACAAGTGCGTCGAACTCCAGTATATTATGCTGGACCGGTCTCCATTGCAGCAAAACAGTGGCTATTTTTTATTGACTTGGTAAACGCTGGCTATTTTTGATTGACCAGTTCGAAAACTAGCTATACCGTGAAATTTTGGCCATTCAACTTTGTCTCATTTTTCATTTTGGCACTCTATCTCAATCTTGTTCCATTTTGGCCCTCTAACTCTAACTCTTATGTTTCACTTTAACACAAAAGCTGAAACCAATGCAAAAAATATAGCGTGTGTGTACACAAATCTGAGGCGTAATAAATATCCAATTAAATGTTGTCACCTGGTTTTTTCATCCATGTCAAACGGGTCAATACTAAAATACCCGAACCCGACCGTATTTGGGTAAAATTAAGTCCGCTTCTTATTTACACAAGAAAATGACAACACTAAAAATGAAATCCGAAAATGGTTCACTTACTTTGTCAAATTTACACCTATAAAAGTGACAACCTAGATTTCTTGGTGTCCATGATACTTTCAGTTCAACTTGAAATCTACAAGAACAAATATCCATTCCATTATGAAAAAATAATTTTCTTTGAGACATGAATTCACTTCAAACTTCAAGCTTAGATGAAATAAACCCACAAAAAAGTAATCAGAATTAATAAATGAACAATAAAATTGCAAAAGTTTGAAATTTTCTGGATGGTTCAGGTATGAAATCGGCAGATGAAAGCTTTGGAACGTTGAGAATGAAGATGGGGCAAAATATGGTCGGGTTCGGGTATTTTAGTATTGACCCGTTTGACATGAATGAAAAAACCAGGTGGCAACATTAAATTGGATGTTTATTACACCTCAGATTTGTGTATACACACGCGCTATATTTTTTGCACTGGTTTCAACTTTTGTGTTAAAGTGAAACATAAAAAATAGAATTGGAGGGCCAAAATGGATCAAGGTTGAGATAGAGTGCCAAAATAAAAAATAGGGCCAAGTTGAATAGGTTGTACATGTATTTGACTTACAAAAAAAAATTATGTAAATATTTATATTCGAAATCTCACATCAAATTCCATTATGAAAGTCATAATTTTTCTGAAGAATTTGCCATGATATTACTTGGTTCGACATGTCCTTGTGAGCTGTGGCGTAGGATCTGGAATTAGGTAGTGAGTTTGTGCGGGACCCACCATTCTCAATATACAACTCTTGGTAACAGATAGAGACATCCCGAAAATAGATAAAAATAAACAAATACTCCATAAATAAAGCAACCAAATAAGCAACTTTATTACACATCGATCTCCCCACCAAATTAGTAATTGAAAAAACAATTATTAATAGAATAAGAACAAGTGAAAAAGACAACAGATAGAGGCAACAGGCAAGAGTCCTAACTACTGGAATACTACTACTCACCTTCCTTTGATAATAACCTTTTTCAAATAACAACTTAATCACGTCTAATTCTAGTCCTAAAAAGGATAAGCGGTCGCTGTAAATATAATCCGGTCTAAAAGAACGAAGTCGAATCACACAGATAACTAAGGTTTCGCTATAACTGTTCAATATCACAAAGAAGACAAGCTCAAATAAATTTCTAAGTTATAAAGATTAAGATTCTTATATCTAACAAATTAAAGTACTAAATTAAAAACTAAAGATACTAAGGGTTGGAGACAAGATTAAGGAGGCCTAGAGTTATGATTTTTCAAATTGTCGGAATCCTTCCTGCTACGTCTCCTATAATTTCGCCTAAGTATTCTATACTGATCATGAGCACTCGACTTATCGTAATTCTCTCTCGAGCAACTACAATAATGTACTAGTCATATTCTCTCGAACTACGCTAGCTCGCACTTTTTCAGCGCTCACTAGGATCACGTCAAAGCTTCGTTATTTCTAATCACGCTTTTAAACTTGCCGTATTGATCTCTCATATACCTTAGGAGTAACGTTGTTCAGCAACCACCTAAATATATATCCTTTCTCAAGCAATACATAATAAATAGGCACAGTCAATCGATGACCATTCAATCAACTGAAATAAGCACGTAGTTGAAGTAAATAAAATCAAAGGTTAAATTATATTAAAACATAACAAGAATTCATCCTCCAAGAGGTTCCACCAAAACTCTAGATAATAAATTAGCTACTCATAATAGTATATAAAACTACAATACTAAAATTCATAACCAACAATGAAAAATAGGAAGAAGAAATGAAACACTCGTGGTTGAATCTTCCTTCTTGCTCCTAGCGTATTCTTGCCTCCTTGGGTGTTGTCTTACCCTAAAGTAGTGTCCCCCCTTCAAAATGACGTTTTATTATGATGTATTTATATCAATTAGGGTTGATGTGGGGCGTCCTTGATCTCTCCTAATTCGAAAAGGACATGCTGAGTCGCGTGCCAAAGTTAGTGCAACGCGCGACTTCTGGCACGCTCCCAGTTTTTTTTTCTTTTTTTCTTCTTTGTTCTTTCGCGTGCCAGGTCCAGTGCCAACCTCCATACTTCACTGTTTTTTGTTCATCTCCTAGGCCATTTCGCGCCTACCTTCATGCAATGCACCAATTGTGGCACGCTTCCAGGTCTTGCATCTCTACTCTTTTTGCATCAAATCATCCAATTCTTGCCAACTTCCATCCAAATTCATTTCTACGCACAATAAACATGTAATGAGCATACTATGTGTTTATAAACATGTAATCTCCTGCAACTCACATAAGAAATAATATGCAAATATACTCAAAAACATGCATTTTTCATCATTTATCATTACCGCACACTTAAACTCTTGCTCGTCCTCGAGCAACTTAAAATTAAGCACATGGCAAGTAACCCAATTCAAAAACATACTCAAGCATCATAGCAAAGACAATGGTTTATATCAACGCTTAGGACCCAACATAAGGGCTATTGACATCTTTCCTCATTTTTAGACCAATGGCAAGACTATTTAAAATATTTGTGTGACTCTTCTAACATCCAAGCCTCAAAGATTGACTCCACTACATTCTCTATATGACTCGCTTCTTGTGCCAACTAAAGATATGAGTTCTTTACCTATCAGTCGTAAAACATGTGCCTTCACCAATAAAGCAAAGAGAGTAATCAGCCCGCACACTCAAATATAAATTCAAGTATAATTTAAGGACTCACATATTGAAAGAATTCCCTCACTCTCGCAAAGAAACTCATATGCCACCCAAGTTCGTACCATAGGCTTGCCCGTAGTGTAAGACTCGACTAATTTAAGCTTGTAACATCTACGATCAAGTAGGACTTTATAGGTTGTAATGTAGGCTAAGGGACGGGTATGATGTATATAGAAAAATAGTGACTAACCCTCCTAAGCACTTTAATACGCCACACTTCACTTTTAAGCACATCTTCTTGTCATGACCAATTGAATATTTTGCCATGAAACCATACACAATTAAGCCCTTCTTCATTAATCACATTAA